TTTTTTTTTTTTTTTTTCTGTCCACGAAGTTGCTGTTTATTTTTATTTTTTTCTTTTATTTTGGCCTGTTTGATGTATGTGTGAAATGATGTTGTCCAACAATAAACCGGAATTTTATTTTGCTGAGTTGTCCTAACACGGCTGCCTCCCAACTGCTGCTTTTTGTTTTTTTTGTTTTCATTTGTGTTACTCCTTTCGTTTTCTTTTTCTCCCTTTTTCGTTCTGTCCTTTGGTTCTTTGCTTTGGAGTGGGGCTGGGGAGAGCGTGAGAGAGGAGAGAGGTGGGGAGGGGGCTGGGAGCCGAGGTTGGCTGTAGCAGAGCGCTGTTCTGGGGGCAGGGAGAAGGTGGAGTGGGTTCCCAGCTGGTCTCTGGGTCGGGATGGCTGGATGTTGTGCATGGTGGTGCTGCTGTGGATGGAGAAAACACTCCAACAGCTCGTGATCTGCTCTGGCTGCCTCGTAGTTCCGTGGCAGTGCTTCATCCTTCCTCTGGGGAGCTGGGGGGGGGCTGGTGGCTGGCCTCACATCCGAGGGATGCAGTGCTGATGGTAGGAGGTGGTGCACGGGCTGTGTGACTGCTCTAAGCCAACTGAACCCCAAGTGCTCTAGGCTGTGCCTCTTGCTTTGCCCCTAACCTGACTGACTACTGCCTCCTCCAGGCTGCTGGAGCTGAGCTGTGCCTCTGGGGATTTCCCATCCTCAGCTGGATGAGTGAGTCTGCTTCTCCTGCTGGGCTGCTTTGGCCCTGGGTTCGGCGCTGACATGATCGTTTTCATTCTTAAAAAACAGCCCTTAGAACTGCATTGAGTCTGCGGTGGAGCCCAGGAGCGGCCTGGCTGCTCACTCCGTATTTACATCAGTGCCAAATAAGCTCAGTCTCCTCCCTTAGCACTAACGATGGTGATTAACCGTGCTGTTGGCACAGCAGGTTTAGCACCGTGACTCTCAGACCGCATCCCTCTGTGTGCAACCTGCCTGGGTGTGGGGTACAGGGCTGTGCCGTGTCCCACAAGGGCTGTGGCAGCGCAGGAGCAGCAGCTGCGTGTCACTGGGCGATGCACTGTGCAGCCCTGACCTGTGTGTGCTCAGAGCGGGCGCCGGCTGCTTTGCAAAGCAAATCATTCAAACGGTGCCTGCAGCAGAGGAGCTGCTGGGAGCAGGATCCGCATGGCCGTGGTGGTGCTGCAGCCCTGCTCTGCACCCAGAAGCTGAGAATGGGCCCAGCCCGGGGCAGTAATGGTGCAGACCCACAGGCCTGCTGTACTTCCACCTTTGCTCCCAGCACAGGTGCAGGGTGAGGCTTCAGGTCCTGCAGGGAGCCCACATGTTTCTGCCCTCGGCCCTGCAGTCACGGCTGGGCTGGCGGTCCTCATCCTCAGAGCCCATTGGGCAGCACTGCTCCAGCTCCAGGCTGAGACCAGCCACAGCTCAGTGCGTGGTCATGGCAGGGAGACCCAGCTGCTTGACTGCAGCCAATCCCCGCTCACCTGCGCAGCCCAGCAGCCAATCGCACGCTGCCACCTGTCCTGCCTGTATCTATTGCCTCCAGCGTTCCTTCCACCAATGCCAATCGAGCAGCACCCAGCTCCGGCCAATCCCAGGCTGTTGCCTGCTGTGGCCCAACCAACCGCGCGCCACCACCTGTCCTTGCCTCCCATAGCAGCTGCCCACCAATCACGGGGGCTGCTGGCTGCTCCCAGCCAATCCGGTGCCATCATCAGTCAGCAGCCCCAGCCAATCGGGGCAGCCCTGCCCCACTGAGGGGTATAAAGCTGGAGGGCTCAGAGTGCCCTCAGTAGTGCGGCTGTTGCAGGGGTTGTGTTGTCAGTTCTGGCTGAAGGTGCTTCTGAGGTGGGCTGTGTGACAAGCTGACCCGCACAGCTCCGTCTGGGCCTCATCTCCTGTGCTCACAATGCTCAGAGGAAACAAACCCAGGGTCCCAGTGTGCCAGGAGCAACGTGAGCCCTGCTGGATGTGGAGCCATCACAGGGTGCTGAAGACCGCACAGCTGGGGACGTGAGGATCGCTGCGTGTTGCCTGCTGTGAGCCTGTGAGGATGGCAGGGCTGTGGGGTGACTGACTGCACCACGGGCGGTGCTGCCATGGACTCTGTGAGCTCAAAGTCTGCAGGTTGGCCAGGTGGGACCTGCACCCTTAGGGGCCATCCCTAGCTGTGCCCATTGCAGGTCAGAGCCTGCTCCGTCTGCTCCTCCTGGGTGCCACCGTTCCGCCTCATCCAGACCTTCTGATCTCCTCTTGCTGCATCTTGAGAACCTCTGTGGAGCACCCGAGGGTTTGGCACAAAGCCCGTGGGATTGCAGAGCTTGAGCTGGATGGATGTGGGCTGAGGTCTGGTGCTGTCTGTGTCCGGGGCCAATGCATTACGGGCATCTGCTCTGGCTCGGATGAATGGGGCAGACTCCAGCATGACTCGCTCAAGGTCACCAAACCAGGCGGGGGTTTTGGGGGTGTTGCTGGCACACGTCAACATGCAGAGCTGTTCCTTCATGTTGCCTGGCCTGAGTGTGAGCTGCGCCTGTAAAGCAGCCCCTTGGAGGGGGCTGAAGTCTGGGGCTGTCTTTGGTCCTGGTCCATCCCAATTAGCAAAGATGTACCTTGAAAATGGCGTACAGGCAGGAGAGCCCAGCCCATGCTGAAGAGCCAGCAGAGCGGGTCTGGTCCCTGTCTCATCCTTGTGCCCTTCTGAGTGTGACAGCCTTTCTCCTGCCCCCACTGTGGCCTCTTCCTGCCTGGCCATGATCCTTCAGCAACCCAGCAAGATGTGTTCCCCTGATGCTCCCCCTCCCGGTGCCCATAGCTGCTCCCCTGTGCTCAGCTGGAGCTGAGCTCATCCTCTCACACGTACAGGGAGTGCTGCGGCTCCCTGGGCTCTGTGTGCCCCCAGGAGAGTCATGGCCCCATTCCATGAGGCAAAGAGGTGGGCAGGGTGATGCCCTCATGCCCTAAGCAAGTGAGCTGGGTGCAGGGCTGGAGCATGTCCATGAGGAGCACAACCCACAGCATGTGCTACCCCTGCAGAACCAAACCCTGCTGCAAATCCCCCTGTAGCCCCACGATGGGGGACAGCCGCTGTCCCAAGGCTGCTGTGCCGATGCCTGATGGGCTGCGATGGGCTCTGCTTCCATCCTGCCCAGCACAAGGGCAGAGTGTGGGGCACGTCCCTCCCCGGGGTGACCCATGGCCTACCTGGTGTGGATGGCAGTCTCTCTGCTGTCTGTCCCAGGCTCCTGACCGCAGTGCCACCCCAGTGCACGGTGAGGTACAGCCCTCGGCCACCAGCACTGTGTGAACATCGCACAGTCTGGGGAAATGCTGTTGTGTTTATTGCAGTGTTGCAGCACCATCTAGTGCTGCTGCCCGGGGAAGCCGGACACCCTGGAGCTCCCACGGAAGTTACTGCAGCACCGTGGGGACAGGGCATGATGGATGGTGTCCCTTGGGTCACGCTGGGGCTGTGCTGCTGAGGATGACACAATGGGAATCCGGGGGTGTGGGCAGCTCTGTGCCAATGAGCTGAGGACCGGGACAGGTGAGTGCTTGGTATGGCTACGTCCTGCTGATGGAAGCACCAGAACCACGGGCTTTTCCTGTTTAAATCCCACACCAGGCATCTTTAGCACCCTATGGGGTGTCTGCCAGCCAGGAGGGGACTTGATGCCACTGGATGCCCCTGCTTTGCACTTGGAGACCCCTGCAAGGGTGCTGGGATGCACAAGGGGTGCAGACATCCCCAGTGCCTGGGCAGAATCTTGCACCCTGCCCATGTGAGCGCTGAGCCCCAACACGGGTTGCGCCCAAGTCCTACCTGACCTCCAGCAGTTGGAGGCTTCCTTCAGGTGGAGTTTGGGCACGCTGGGTTGAAAGCAAGGTCTTTGGCTGCTGAACTGCACCAAGTCACTTGACAGCCCCATGCCCAAACGATACAGAGCGTTGCTGGCTCTTCCCACAGACCACTCAGGAGCTGGATTTCACTGCCTTGAAAGAAGACAGAGCGACCCAAAAGCCTGTGCCAGCTGCCACAGAGGGTAAGAGTAGCAAAGCAAGCACTGAGCGTAACACGGCCCTGGGCTGTTTGTGTGCCTTTTGTTCACCCATAACTCTCTGAATCAGACAATTAACCGCATCAGGGAGGCTCTGCTTGCCCATCCGTGCGTTATTGGGCAGGGCAGCTCTGCGGCAGAATGCCAGGAGCTGAAAGCCCTGAGGCAGCAGCTGGGCAGGCGGAACGCGTGGGGAAGGAGCCGGCCCCTCGCTCCGAACGCCTGGGTGCGGCGTGGGGAAGAGATCCCGACGAACAGCGGATCTGTGGGCAATTAACGGGCCGTAAGCCATACCCGTGCCTTTGTGGGTGCGACGACCCCGAAACAGAGCTGCCTGCAGCCCGGAGCCCGCCGTGTGTCGCCCTCTTCCCGCTGCCTTCGCCCCGCAGCCCTGCCACGTGGGGAGCCTCCTCTCCGGCACGTTCCCTGCCCCGCGGCACCCACAGCAACAACCGCCGTGTGCGTGCCGGCGGCCGGAAGGCTCTCGCCTCCTCCACGGGAGCTTTGGCAGCCAAACCAACCCCAGCGGCGAACAATGAGCCGAGGAAAGCCGGCGCCGGCGGCTGGCATTGCCCGCCTGGCGGCGGCTGCTGTTGCTGAACCCGGCCGGTTCCCCCTCCAGGTTG